CGTGTTTGTGGGCGTTGGAGTGCACGCGTTGGGCAAACTGGCTCTGCACTTTGGCATCGCCCCACAGTGCGATGAGGTCAGCTATCTCTCCCTGTGCCCAATTGGGACCCCAGGATGCTGCCTGTGGTGTCACCAAGGATGCCCTCGAGGGCTCTACCAGAGACTCCAGGCCTTGGCATATGCCTGTAGCAAAGGGGCATGGTGGGTGGGAGGCAGCCACATGGTAGCACAGGCCCTGGGGGTCACAACCAGGTTCCATGGACCTGCTGTAGCCAGCATGGAGCTGCTGCTCCACAACGTGATGTGATGGCTAGGGGCAGACAGCAGGTGGCAGAGTCCCTGGGGTCAGGCCAGGGGTTTAAAGCCCAGGCTGAGGTAGGCAAAGAGGTGTCCTAGCCATGGGGCTGGAGAAACTCTCTGCCCCATGGCTCTGGGGCAAGCCTGAGTCTGGCCTTCTGTTGGTGTGGATGTCAGAGAACCAATTTGGTCTTGGTCAGCCTCTGCATGTGCACGACTGCGCAGTACCTACTGCATGGTTAGCTTACTACCTGCAAATGCAGGTAGTAAACTAACCACTCAGTAGACTAATTACTGCACAATAACTGCCAGCATGTGTAGACGGTGACACTTTACTGCACAGTAAATTAGTCTACTGTGCAGAAAAGAGTCTTGTATAGATGCATCCACTGTGAGATAAAGCAGCCACATTAAACTGCTGTAAATCACGTGGTGTGCAGTGAGTGCTCCTCACTCTTAACTCAGTATAACTGTTCCATCCATCCTTACCCCCAGATCTAAATTCTTCATTTCCTTACAAAACAAAGCCTGTCATTCTCTTGATTCATTTTTTCTGTCATTGGTCCAGTTGTGCACTTAGGGTAAGTAGCTAGTATGAGATGGACTTCAATCTTTGTAATAAAAAGCAAAACATTTTTCTTATTTCTCTCTGCTTTTCAATTGAACTAATTGAAACTGACAAGAGTTACCAAGAAAATATGCTTTGCTTATCCTGGGACTAATGTCTTCTAGCAGTAGTAGTTCAAATATGTTTTTAACTCATTGACTTCATGCAGACAATCAATCTATTTTTTTATACTATTCATAGATAGTAGTGTCAGAAAAGACAACCTTGAGACATACTGTTTTCAGACTAAGAGTCTGCATTATTTAATAATATCCTGCTCTTAGACAGTGCTTTTCATCAGTTTGTTTTCAAAGCAATTTCAAAGTAGATCAACATTATTATTACTGTTTTACTGATGGGAAGACTGAGGCACAGAAAAGGGATTGGCTTACCCAAGGCCACCTAGCGGGCCAATTACAGAACTGGCAGTTGAACTTGGGTTTCATTTAGAATAGCTGTATTCAGTGTGCCCACACTGACATCTCAGTGAAGGCAAGAAGAACGATTCTACATGATCCATATTTATGTTAAGTTGTGTACATAGGTATACACCATATTTTCTTGAATGCAACATGCATATTTTCCCCAGAAACCAGCTGCTGGAATTATAAGTTAGGAAACAGGGTAAAAGCAGGTTTTGCTACTTAAGTGTCTGCTGAGTCGACGTGAAAGTAACTACACAAGAGAGGCTCTCAAGCTTCTGATGCTCATTTACCGTATATACTTGAGTTCAAGCTGAGGTGCCCCCCGCCACACATGGGTAGCATGGAGAAAAATAACCCTCAGCTTGGATTTGAGACCTGCCTAGGGCAGGTGGTGACTCAGCTCTAGTTTTGTCCCCAGGCTCAAGGTTGAAGCTGAGCTGCTGCCTGAAATAGCTCATTTGGCAGGGGAGGGGACATGCAGCCAGGAGGGAACTTCCAACCCCACCACATGCCCCCTGTGCCTGTATCTATGTGCACCCTTGCTCCCCCTGCTACTGACCCATCCAACACAGCTTCCCCTTCCCCTCTTATCTTTTGCTCTGGCTCTGTTCCCTCTACCCCTGGCCTAGCCAGGTGCTCCTGCTGCTTCTCCCTGGTTAGACTGAGCTGGGGCCACCACTGCTGCAGACTGCCCCAGAGGAGCAGAATAGGGTAATGGGGGTGGACATGGAGGGGAGCAGGGAATCGAGGAGGCAGGCCACAAGTGGGCCTGATCTGGCACCTGGGGTGGCCATGGCTGTCATCATTCCACCCCATGGAGGGTGGCAGGGAAAGCCTAACCCTAACACTGCCCTTCTGGCGAAGGTAATATGACCCAGCCCCATGGAAGAAGGGAGTGTGGCCTAGACCCACAGAGGGGAGAGGGCAGGGACATGCCTGGCCCCTATCCAGATGTGGGTGGGAAGAGGTGTGGCCTTTTCTGACATGGGGAGGGGGGTGCAGCCTAGCTCTTTCATGTGGCATGTGGCTTGGAGTTTGGCAATTTGGCAGGGGGGAGGATGGTCATATAAATGGCTGCCACTTCCCATGTGAAGACCCATGGGCCAGGTGCAATAGCTCTACGGGCTGCATTTGGCCTTTAGGCTAGAGGTTGAGCACCTCTATTTTATGCCAATTGTTGAATGGGATTTTGAGCAAATAAAAATAATGAGACCTAAGGAGCTGGGAAGGAAAGTGAGGGAAAGGAGAGTGGAAGCCACTGCATTTGGAACGTGATAAGCAGGGATCCTAGTTTTCTTTGATTAAAAAAAACCAAAATGATCTGACAAAAATGTAAGAATCCATGTTTTTCCATGCTGAGCCTCCACAATGCTGATTGGCTGAGGGAGGGGTCCTAGCAGTGGCCCCATCCCTTGCCACTGATTGCCTGAGAGTGCTGCTGTTTATGCAACCCCACCCCTTGCTGCTGATTGGCAGAGAGGGATGAGGCCTCATCATGGGCAACCTTCCCGGCCAATCAGCGGAGGAGGGGAAGCCATCATCTTGGCTGCTTCCTGGTTTGCTGGGGGTTTCTATGCCTCTGGCAGGCTGCTGCAGCAACCATGAGAACCGCTGGCTCCCACATTTTTCATTAATTTTTTTTTTTCTGGTGATTCTAACAATTCGCTGTAAAAACACAAAATCCATATTTTTTCATGGCAAACATTCTCAATTCTTGGGAAGGATGACATCGTGACTTCACAGCTTCATAGCACCTCTTCCCGTTTTTACCCAGAAACCTTGAAAGGGTACTATCTAGTAAGGATAATCTATGATAAAAGCAGTCTCTAGTCCATAAAGGAAAATATAATTCCCTTAAAATTTACTGCGTTGAAGTAATACAGTCACTTTGACCTATGTTATTAGCTTTCAAGTTCAGTATCCAGTCTACAGCTCAGAATTATGTGCCTTGGCTGATTACATTAATCCACATACTCATGTATGTATGTAACTTGTAATACAAACTGTAAGGTGTTCAACATATGTGAAGAACATCCAACATAAATATCAAGTTGTTGGAGCTAGTGGTACTGGAAGAAACTTAAAATTGGTCTATATTTATCTTCAATATTTTGTACGTACATTTTTAACATAGAGTTCTTAGTGTATATAATAAAGAACAGAAACTACCGTAGTAAACAGATTCAGGGTAATTCCTTTTTTGGGGTGTACTCTGTAACCTTCCACATTTTTTTAATTGTTTATGTTTTCTGTTTGACTTAATGCCTCTGGTAATCTTGAATTTCCCCCAACATATTTTCTTCTGTTCCCGGCATTTCTTCAATATTGGGATCATTGCTGAAGGTTTTGTTTTTTTTCACTCTCCCTCATTCCTAGAAAATGAGGGGGAGATCCTGCCGTAGTTTCAGCAATTGCCAACTTGAGGTATAAGAAACAGGAAGTGATTGTGATGCAGTAAAATGCATATTAAATATCCTTTCATAAACTGCGCCAAAGGTAGGCTCTCTGCGAACCCATATATTTTAACATATGTTTTAACCTTTTGGATTTTTTTGTCATTCATTTTTATCAGCATGTTTTTCATTGTGTCTCTGTCAAAGCTTTAAAAATGCTTTAATTATAAGAGCATGTAGAAACTTCATGAAATTCTGAGAAAAGCTTTTAAAAAAGCCCTGAGTCCTGCAAGGGAATAGAACTATAGGAGTAGTTTTCTGGTGAATCTTTACACTGTGCAGCCAAGCTGCATATCATCTGAGAAAGTAGAAATGAATGCAGTTGTGTTTTTTGTGATAGTACATTTTATTCCAAGTCCCTTGTGATTCTCTTGCATGTTAGCATATTATATAGTGGTAATTTTTTAAAAACATTTCATCAGTTGAGCTTCTTCCATGTCCAGAAAACCCCATGCTACTGAAGAACTGCAAGACTGCATTACTTGTTCAGAAAAGTATGCTTAATATGGGTGTGTATATACCAGAAAAAAAGTACTCTTATTCTAAATGCACTGCTCTGAGAGAGATTCATGACAAAATAGTAAGAATGCCCAAGCCTTGTCTTCTACTACCACTTGCACTATTACTAATATCTTTTAGGGAGTTAATTCAGCCTCTGAATTAGAACTTCCTAGGGACCTAGACCTTAAATTCTGGAGGCTGCAAGTGAGAGAAGAACAGTGGGAAAAACCCTGGTCATATTCCATTCACTGTCCCTTTTAGCATCCATTCTCTGTCACTGTGACACAGGATATTGAGCAAGATGGATGTATGGTCTGACCCAGGAAATAGCAATTCTTATGTTCTTATGTGCAGTTGCACTACTGGTGGCATAATGGAACAATCTTTCTAATGCAGAAAAATGATGTAAATGTATGAGGCTGTATGACTTGGATAGAAAGAATTTGCTTTAAGGGCTAGATTAGATGAAGATAACTAATATTTTTATTTGTATGAGCTAAATATTAACCAAGTGTATTATTTCTTAAGGTTAGTAGATTTTCAGTTTATCCTTTAAAGCCTGTAATTCCAACTCCATGCTTCAGTTAGTGGTTGTTTAAATATCTTTCATATATGTAATAAGTTTGCACATAAACTTTTAAACAAGTTCTTTTTTGATAAACTAATTTTATGAAGGCATTGTCATACATATTTGCATATTTTATTTCATTGCTGCAGATAAATCCTCTTCAGGGACAATACAAAGTGGAAAAGGTTTTCAGAATAAAAGCCACTTTAGGACCATCGCACCAAAAATGGTACCAAAAGTTGTAACATCAGGAATGGTTTCTTGTCTTCAGCCTTCTCTGCCTGAGCATAGTACTCCTGTTAGAGCTGCAAGCTCTAAACCACTTATAGTGCCAACACAAAATTATGCTCTGATGCAAGTTACTGGTCATGAAGGAACTTTTTCTCTTGTGGCCTTGCCACAGGTTACTCCTGCACTAACCCAACAAATCCATCAGTCAAACATGTCCCCTCCTGAAAACCTCAAACTACCTATTCCTAGGTATCAGTCTGTAAGAAGCAAATTGCTGATTGACAAAAAACCAACTCAAACCACTGCTTCAGGTACACATAACAAGATTCTTGTCAAGACACAGACTTCATCACAGATGCCACCAGTGACTACCTCTACTGAAGACCATTCTGAAACTCATTCTATGACTCGTGCATCTGAACAAATGATATTACTGGATCAGGGGTCAACTGAAGTTACAGTTGCTACTTTGCTAAATGAAAGCAACAATGTCAAATCTGAACCTCTTTTATTGAGCAAAACGGACACTGCTAGAGCTGTGTCAGAACCATCTGCAGCTAAGCAACCTTTATCCAAGCCAGTGGGTATAAGTGATCCACTGAAACTAAACTTGCACTCTATGGAAACAGCAGATGAAACCACAAAAGGCTCAATTGTTGTATGTGAGAAAGTTAAAGAAAAAACAGCGAATTCTGCAAACTCTGTCACTGTGCTGTCACCAGCTGTTTTGGGCAACCCTGTGCAATTGACTCCCTCAGCACCAAAAGGAAAACTACCTATTTTGCCTTATTCAAGAATGAAAAAAACAATATTTTATAAATCTAAATCAAATTCTAACATTGCAAATGCTGCTGCTCCTGTGCAACCATCTGATTGTGAAAAGATGCCATCTTTGGTGAAAACCTTAAATGTTTCTGGTAAACTGTTACCTATATCTTTTGCACAAGTCTCCAAACAACCAACGTGTGAAAATGCTTTCTGTCCAGCAAGTAAAGTAGATGTTGATAATCCAAAGAAATTGGATGCTGCAGCCTTGAAGAGAAGAGGGAGAAAACAAAGAATCCCAGATGATATATTGGCCTTTCAGACCAAAAGAAAGAAGCGCATTGTTAATAAGTTTAGAGAAGGTAAAGAGAAAATAAAAGTTGATCCTCAGGAACCAAAAAACAGAAAGGGAGATGAAGTAAAAAAATACCGTAGTATTAGGCCAAAACCTGTCGTTGTTATGCAGGCTTTAGCTCCACTAACATCTGCATCCATAAAGGGGTCCAAATCTCCTGACCAGGTAAAACAAGACGCTTATTTAAATAATTCACTTCCCAGTAAATATTTAAGTTATAAACAGAGTGAAGAAGTTTCTGCTAAACCAAGGGATTTGTGTAGGAATGTATTTTCTACTGTACCTAAGATGTGGCATAAGTGCCATGTCTGCAACCACAACTTCCAGTTTAAACACCATCTTCAGGACCATATGAACACACACACAAACAGGCGACCTTACAGTTGTCGAATTTGCCGTAAAGCATATATTCATTCAGGAAGTCTAAGCACACACATGAAGCTTCATCACAGTGAAGGTCGACTCAAGAAACTGGTGTGCTGTGAATTCTGTTCTAAAGTATTTGGACATGCAAAAGTATATTTTGGCCATTTGAGGGAAGTGCACCGGGTTGTTATCAGCACCGAGCTCTCCACTAGTGAACAACAGTTGCAAGATGCTTTAAAGATCAGAGACATAAATATAAAAGGGGCAGATGAATCAATAGAGAGGTGAGTGCCTCTGCAAGTTAAATGCCAATAAGAGAATGATTTCAGGAGTTTACTGCTTTCTTCTTTATTGCTGTAAAAATTCTCAGTTATGATTAACTTTTCCTCCAGAACAAGACTCATAGCTGTTTGCAAATCCTTTTGGATCTCTTCTTTCTGTCCCTTCCTTCCTATAGTCTATAAGGATTTTTAAGTCTCAAATTATCATTGATAGATGAGTAACTAGCCTAGTCTTGAATATTTCCCTTTAAAGTAATACTGCAGCTGCCAGTGAAACTGCTTTTTGTTATCTATATACAAAAACAAATGATTTTGATATTTAGTATATTTTTAGCCTTGTTTTCCTCTGCAGTCTGTCAGGTTGTATTTTTCCCAATGATGGTACTCAGTGAAGGTTATACTTCAGCAAAGCAAGTAGTGTAGCAGTGCGTTCACTTTACAAATCCCTTCACTATGTTAAAGACCATTGCCCTGGTTGCTTCTCTGAGGTACTGCTGCCTTGTCTACATTTGTGCATTGATTCCTGCTTCTGCCAGCAATTGTATTAACCAAAAAAAAGTTAATATTTACCTTGCCATAGTAGAACGGAAATGCTCCTATTCCTGCTATATAGTCTTGCATTAAACTCCCTTGACATATGATAAATACTGCCTTTCTGGTTTGCACCAGACTGACTTTGTTTTATTGAAATATGCTGTATTTGTTCATTTAGAACACACCCCCAAATAAAACACCCATCTTGATTTTGAAAGGCAGAATGTAGATTTTTTTTTTCCAGAGTCCTGGCTGACTGTGTGACATAGAATAAGTCCTCCTGGAAACACAGAGAGTGAGTCCACACATGCAAGCATGTGTGCTTGCAGCAGCTCAAATAGAAGCGGTGCAAATTTAAGCCACGGCTTTTTGTCCCGGTGCATGTGCACACTTCGTTGTGGAGCAAACTGTGCCACTTGGGGCAAAATAACCCTGCCTGGCTCCTCCCAGATCTGCAGCCCGGGGCCAGCACCTGTGTTGGGCCCAGCAGTATAAAAACCTGCCCTGGCTTGAGCTCAGGGCTACTTGCTCTCAGGAGCTTCTGAGGCCCAGCCACTTGGTATCTGGGGACACTAGCCCCTTGTGTCACCTATACTGCTGAAGCAGCATCCCAAATTCACTTTTTAAAATACCCCAAAATCCACATTCTTCTACAGTTAGAATAAACGAGAGAGAGAGAGGGGGATTGACTTGATGGGCAATGTTTTATTCCTATATTTACGATGTTTAAGAAATTTGGAAGCCTACCAGTGTCTCTAGCATCATAATAAAATAAATCCTAAGTATCTATATGTTTTAATGTTTACTTTTCGTTTCCTTATCAGATGGCGGGTGTGTGGTGTGGGGTGTGGGGATATGGAGTTTGCAGGAGAGGGTGTGGGGATGTGGGGGGGTGAGTCAGTGTGAGGGTAGGTGTGGGGGACTGTGGGTGTGGGAGCTGCTTAGAAAGGGTGGGTCTCCTGCATAAATGCCACGTGCCCCTGGTGGCTGGCGGGAGCATGGCAGTAGTGGGGGGAGGGGTGGCGAGTGCCCATGGACACCGCCGGCAGTGACAGTGGTGGCTAGCAGTGATTGCTGACTGTCCGCAGATGCCACTGGTGGTGTGGGGGGGAGGGGTGGCAAGCAGCAGTCGCCCAAAGAAACTTTTTCTGAGAGGGTACACTGCCATGCGCTGGGGGTGCACATTGCACAATGCTCCCCTGCCCCTGACATGGCAGAGCCCCCCCTCACAGCACATTGACACACCACAGGGTCCCAGGCCCCTCCAGAGGCTACAGCTCCCCCCCAGCCCCCATGCTGGTCTTTAGCCCCCTGCTCATTGCCCTGCTCTTCTCCAGCCCCTGGAGGCTGGAGAACGAGCAGAAGAACAAGCAGGAGACTGGACAGAATAGGAGAACGAACAGGAGGCTCTTTTCCCCCAGCTCCCCATTTGTTCCCCTGCTCCCCATTCATTCCTCCCAGCTCCCCGTTCATTCCCCTTATCCTGTTTTTTCCCCCACTCTCCGTTCATTCCCCCAGCTCCCCGCTTGCTCTCCCAGCTCCCCCACACTCACCGGCAGTAGCAGAGAACAAGCAAGGGACTGGAGAGAGCAGGGTAAGTCTCCAGCTTATCTCCAGGGGCTTGTTTCCAGCCTCCTGCTCTCTCCACCCCCTGCTTCTTCTCCTGCTTGGCTGCCTGCTCCCCTGTCTCCACTTTTGCCCCAGCATATGGCAGTTTGGTGTGCTTTGCACCACCTCTTTTGGGTTTGTTTTTTTAATTATTGTCACTGAGAAATCCCGGTAGCAAATATTGTCCCAGCACTGCAAATTAGCAGTGCAGGTTACAGTTTAACATGCAACATATGTGGTTTGTGGTGACACAGAGGTTTGTGGCGCCACAAAGCACATGTGACTGCACTTTTGGATCCGGCCTATGTTTCCAGGAGGGCTTATTCTGTCATACAAAAGCCCCAGACCCTTGCAGAGGGTGATAGCAAGGCCATTGCTTTTTTCCTGTAAGTTCTTTATATAAATACATTTTTTTTTCACATCACAAGCCTCATCAAGATTTTATCAGCAGCTCACTTGTTGCTTCAGATACAAGCTGCAGTGCTCAGCCAATGACTGTGGCTGTGAGAGGTTTAAAACAGGATTCTGCCTCTTCAGTTTGCTGAGCAGCTGCAAACAGCAGCCATCTTGGCAGCTGCATGGCGTACACAGTGCCAAGAAGTGCTCCTTTTCCAGCAAGGCAAAGCACTTCTGTTTAAAACACACACCCCAGTTTTGTGGGGGTGATTTTAGAAAAAAGCTGCGTGTTGCTTGTGAGAAAATATGGTACTTAATTAGGTTCAGTATGTTTCTCCTGTGCCTTAATTCTGTGCTAAATTTTAATTTCATCCCACTGTGCTTTCTGTTACTCTGCGTTTTGTACTCTCTATTCCATCCTCTGAGACATTAATTAAAAAATTAATAGTACTGGACTCAACTAAGCATTGCAGCACCTCTTTCAACCTTGCTATCCATCTTATGATGAATCATTTATAATTAATTTATTTGTTGGGTAATTTAGCTTGTTTCATATCACTATATACTAGTCCTTTCTAATTCATAACTCTTTCTCTCAAAAGAGCTCCATGAAGCTCTTTGAATAAATGCCTTATTAAAGTTAGAGATGTCACATTTAGTTCATATTTCCTTTATGGTGTTTGCTTGTTATCCTATTATAAAAAGAAATCAAAGCAACAATATTGGGTAGTAAATCGTATATTTAAAATAGTTTTACCTGTACAACTGTCACAGACTGTTTGAAGTTTTTCGTGTTTGAAGTTCCATTTTACTTTTTATTATTCCTAGTGGTGATTGTGGGGTTGTTTTTATAATTGGAATTTCTCCCAAGTCAATTCCTTTTAGTACTCGGCTGCTAATTATTGTCACTTCCATGTTACTAGTACAGTGGTGCAATATTTGGGTTGAAATCACTGCATGGGAGGATGTTTTGTTTTTAACATTTCAGTGAAAGATTTCTATTTGTTTTAGGACTGGCAAAGCTTAGTTTTATAAAACTTAACTTTGGAAACAAATTTTAACTTGACAATGCCAATTTAGATAAAATTTGCTTTCAGCTAGCTTATTGCTTTAGCTATCTTTGCCTAGCATTTTACTACTTTACTTTTTCTCAGTGCTTGTACATTGTCTGTTTCATTAACTACTGCAATAATGCATGGTTATAACAGTATGATATTTCATAAAAGTTCTTGCTACTTAGAGATTAGGGTAATTTTCATTTTTGTTCTGCACATAGCTAGTATTGAGGTAGTTTGCATATCCTTTTTCTGTTTTAGGGAAAATAAATGCAATTTTGAAGATCTGTTTCATAGTCAAGGAGATGTTAAAGTACAGATCAAATGTGGCCGATGCCAGTTTACTGCACTGTCCTTTGCTGAAATGAAGTTTCATTTGCTGTGTGCTCATGGAGAGGAGATCCAAGGAAGAATAAAGGATGGAATTCTACAAGGAGGCATGGGACCACAGGAGGAACTGATCAAACATGCAGCTCATTTCTGGAAGAAGCACAATGAGCACCGAAATCTGGTGAAACGTGCCCCTTATGAGGAGTTCTATACTTTTCCAAAATTGAGAAGGCAAATCTGTCTTCATCATGAAAATAATGGTGATATACTAACTAAAAATGAGGTGATTCAGTTAGGGAACAATGAACCAGCAAAGGAGTTGCAAAATATTGGCTCTGCTCCACAAACTAAAAAAAATCAAATTTGGTCTAAAGCAGGATATAACTGCATTTTATGCAAGCAGGTATTTGGAAGAAAAGAGGACCTTTGTGGTCATTGGCAGAGTTGCCATAATTGTGAAGACCCTTCTGTTCTTTGGACTATTTTTAATTCATTCTTTAAACAGGGGGTTAGTGAACTTTCTAATACCGAAAGACGAAGCAATGACAACATTCAGCTAGAAAAGTATTCACCTCCAAAGTTTACTGAATGATTTGTGTCTCATTCACAGTATCCCAAAAACTGACTCAGAAAAGTTTCGCTTTTTTTTCAGTTAACAGTAGGACTGTTTGTACATACAGTTTAGATCTGTTTTGCTAAATAGAAAACTGTATTTGTATTGTCAAACTTTCCAGACACACACACACACACACAAACCTTTTTTATACCAGTGCACTAAGGGTGTTTATAGACATGCTCTGGGAGGTGGGACTGGTTTGGGGGGGGCGCTTTAATTAGCAAGCCACACTAATTAAAAGTGCCTGAGTGTCATGTGTATCAGCATCTCCACACTGAAAAATAATGGCAGCAGGACACTTTGAACTAAAGCATGTTCGACAAGCTTTAGTTCAAAACACCCCGCTGCCATTTTTCAGTGCGGGTACGCTGCATGTTAAATTCAGCGTGTTAATTTCCATGGTCCAGCAGACTCAATTAATCGAGTCTGCTCCAACATGCTGGATATACAGCATGTGGGTGCAGCCTCCCTGGATGTCTGTAAGTGCCTGAGATGTTCGTGCATTCAGAACTTCAAGCAGAAACAAGGAAGCAAAATGCTAGAAGTTGAAATTGTGAAGAAAAAAAGAGATACACCAAACTTATATTAGGCTATACACAGATATGAATCAGTGTGCTGAAGCAATGGCATGCAAATGCTGTTCTTGGGTGGAATGACAAAACCAGATCAAAAATGTAATTTCAGTCCCAATATAGTGCTTCCAGAATTATGGTGTGTGTATGCATGCAGGTATACATACTCTTCTCTGCATATGTGCATGCTAGGACAGCTCATTTATTAGGGGCTTTACATCCCATAATGTAAATTTCATATACAAAGGGCTTTTAAGTCTTGTTTTCTTCATTTTAACTTCATGAAAGTTCATTGCCTGCATGTCTCACAAGTGTTATATTTTATCTTGATAAATAGCAGGTCTGGTTTTTTACCCTGATAAAGTGTCATGTATTTTTTTGCAGCTAGCTTGTTTAGGGATGAAGGAAAACATACTTGTCACCTGTGAAGCAGAGAAGTTAAATGGAACCCTCAGAGCTTGACTGACTCCATCATAAAAAACAATGTGTTAAAAATAGCAACCTGGTTTGGTTACATTTAGACAGATGGACTCCTGAGACTGCATAATATTAACAAGGAACTTGAAGCAGGTCCTTGGACCTTCCATGAAAGGAACCACCACTAGTGCTAGCACAGCTCTTTGTGTCTCTCTTGTGTACATGTGTGCTTGACAAGTTCAATGGAAATCTTTCCCAGGCTTTTAAATGGATGTTACTGTATAATTCAGGCTTTCCTACCTCCACCAGTGTATGTGGGTGCCATGATCCAGTAAACCACATAAATAATGGTTATAGCACCAGGGTTAGCAGCCCTCACATGCACATCCCTTTTTACAGTGGAGCAGAAGTATTATGAAAACTACAGGGACTCAATTTTATAATGCTGCATACGGCAGTAGATAGATGGTACACTAAGTTGCATTACCATAGAGCAGGCTGGGTGAATCGCTTTTTCAGCAAATCTCCAGTCGAGAGTTTGATCCATCTATTCAAACACAGGAATTTTAAGGATATATGGTTGCTTTATTACACTTATAATGGTGGGGTGTGGTTGTACACAGGGAAAATAGAAAGCCACAAGCAAGGGCTATTTAGAAATCCAGGTTCTCATGGATTTCTGCAGAATTCTTCAGAACGTAGCATTCTTAAAGAAAAATATGACCTCTGATTGCAAAGATCAACCTTCACATTGCTGTTTCTTTGATTTCTTCTGCACTCACAATCAAGCTTGTATAAAAACCATTTAAACTGCTGCAAGCAAATGAAATGCTGGAGCTCTATTGTAACCAAATGTTTGGCCAGCCAGTGTTACCACAGTCTAAAATGTATTCTTGACTGAAACACTGTCTATCCTGACACTTCTTTGGAGCACTAATAACAGTGACTTAGAGAAACGTTGTCTAATAGTGCCCAGAACAGGTGAGCAGGGCACTGTTAGAAGACAGAATGATAAAAATGCTGGTGCCCTTTTTTACATCAGTGCTCCTTTTGTTTCTGCTTCTGGCCAAAGTCCATCTGTTCAGTGATGGAAGAGTCATCCCTAAAAATCTGCACTAGATGTGAACTATTTTGCTAAGTCTACAAAGTCTGAGGTTTTACCATGGTTGTGACTGCCTAAGCAGATGTGGACTAAAAATGTAAGATGCTAAAAATAGGACCCTAGAAGCTATTGCATGATTTCTCTATGTTATTTCTAACATCATAACATTAATTTGATAACTTTTAAGTAGACAAGGTTCTTTGGGTACCTTTTATGAGACCAATTAAAAAGTTGAAAAAAATTGTTCTTTGTAAACTTTTGGGCAGAAACACCCTTCTTTAAGCATCAGGAGAGTTTCAATACCTAAAGGAGGGTGTTTGTGTCCAAAAGCTTGCAAAGAACAATTTTTCCAACTTTTTAGTTGGTCTAATAAAAGATAAAAGATCAACCCAAAGATTGGTCTCCTTGTGTCCTTAGACTAACACCGCTACAACCAACAACTCTACTAACTTTTAAGTGACATTCCTTATTTTAAATGGAGTCTAGTGTTAAAGTATGAGACTGGGAACAACTAAAATAGAAAACAAAAAGAAAAACTCTCACAAATACTACACGGGTGTTTGGTGTGGGAGAAAATCCCTGTAACTTTTGATGGCTTTTCTCCTTATTTCTGTTGATGTAAATACAAAATCTTAGTTGTTTCATTAACTTTAGCAAAAGGAAAACTAAACTACCTCTGAAATATATATTTTGCTCTGGCCTATGCTTGTACATCTCTAGTGGCCAGAGATAGAAAAACAATGTTCATATTCTCAGACACTGACACAAAATGTGCTGCCATTGATCCTCACTGAGTAGATGAAGGAAAATGTACTGAATATTAGAAAGGAATAGCTTATTTTAAAGCTGAGTGTTTCCTATCAAACAGGGAGCATATTTAATTTAGTACAGTGTGCTCACATTAAGAAGCAATCTTTCCTGAATTAGCTTTTCTTAACACTTGAAATCAAACGGCTCAGTGTGATGTCTTTGAAACTAAATGCTTGAATGTGAGCACAATCCTTCCTCCAGTTATGTAGTTAAAATGCATCAAAGAAAATTGCACTCTTAAGCATAAAACATACTCTTTGTTTTAATAAATAATAATCTAAGATGCTTCTAGCATTTCATTTTAAGTTGGACCTTCTGTGAAACACCTTTTAGTGTTTTTCCTCATTGCTCTTAAGACCAAGCAAGATGCTTGCAAATAAAAAACCAAATATCTGTTTTTCTGTTCTGATCATGTTTCTCATTTATAGCAGATATTGATTCACCTCCCCTAATCACCCACTGGCCTAACACAATCCCCTCTCCTTCAGTGTATGTTTAAAGGAGCTGAAATTAAGACAGCTCTGTTGTTTACTTCCTTGTGTTCAGGATCAGCATCAGTGATGTCAGATCAGTTCTTGGAAAACCCCCTTGGAAAAGTATTTATTAAAGTGGTGCTGCAACAAACCCAACAAGAGGAATAGCAAGCATACACATTCAACAGTTAGTTTTGTTTTCCAACAAGAACAGTCGCAAATTTTCATGTTATTCTTTAAAAAAATAATAATTCAAATTTGAAGTTTGTTCTTCACTAGGAATGAGCTCCTTATTCCCTCTGCAGCCCCTTTACCCATGGTAGGCACGATAAAGGGTCACAGAACATTTAAAGCTGTTTAAAGGCAGGTATCAGCATGGTTCTGAGCTGCTGTTTGGTGTCCTTTTCATGTGCTTAAAATCAGATGCTTTTTAAAGGTGGAACCATTTTATTCATTTCAGGTTTTTATGATGAGGTGAAGAGGGCAAGAAAATGCAAAGACACACTCTTAGTTTTAAATGTGCTTTTATTTTGAATTTGTGTTCATTTTGATAACATAGAAAAGAAGCATTAAGTAGCGTGTGTTTGCCATTAAACAAAGTGGTTGTCATGAATACAGTTTGCTGTTTACTTCAAAGTTGGACAAGCTTAACATCTGTTTTGCACATAAATTATTTTTTAAATCATTGAAATATATGTCATTGTTTTTGTAGTTGTAGTTTTTTGTTCCCTTCTGTTTTTTCTGAAGCTCTGTTTCTACTTCACTGTTCAACTTTAAAGCTGTTCCTCATATGGAAAGTTGTTCCTTCATCATCACACCATAAATAATCAATGCTGGATGAGTTCCATTGCCTTCTCTGGCTTGCAGAATCTTGCCCTTCTCCAGCTGCAGCGCTACAGTTTCCTATGGCTAGCTTGACATGGTTGCTGGCAGGAAATGCTCAACTTCACTTACTTATTAGAATTTAGTTCTCTGCTATTTAGCCCCATCAGAGCTGCTGTCATGCCTCATTAGATACTTATTTTGTCTACCATTCACTGAGCTCTTTAGCAAAAATGTTGTAAGAAGGATGAACAGGAATTTAGGAAAGCAGATCTCAGATTTACCTTTGTGCAGCTGAGAGCCAATGCTTGCAAGTCATCAGTTTGCTTACGATCAAACATGTAGTTTGTATGTCTACACTACTTCCGCTTAGCTGTGCATCTCTTTTGGAAAGAAGTGAATAAGTTTAAATAATGTCAGGCACTTATCAAACCTGTATAACATAGAGTTGTGGCTATCATGTGTAAACATTCAAATGTCATTAACTACAGTAAGTTTCCGTGTCAAATTCCTTAGATCTAAAGTGCAAAAATGTCTGTGTGCTGGACATGACACAGAAAACATTCAGCCTCTTGAAGAATAAGCTGCGTGATAACTAAAAAAAGGGTGGTAAAGGTTGTCTGCTTTAATTTTAACACAGAGTTTACAGCTGATTCAATACCTTCTGGGAGTTTTTTCCTCCGTTTCTCAAAATGTCTTCATTTTTGCCTGGTTTGTAACGAGTGGAACCTAATCCAGCCAGCCAATCTTCCTAGGGCAGGACCAGCCCCCGCCACACACCCACCCACCCTGTTCAGGAGGAATTGGGGCTTTTGCATACGGCTTTATAGAGCTGATCTTTCTGCAAGTGGGAATTCCTGGAGTGGAAACTAAAAGGTTTTAGGACATGTTTCTGATATTAGTGAGTTGCCAATATTTACAGATACTGTATTTTAAAAAAAAGACAGTAAATCCCAGTAGCATACTTCTACAGTTGTATT